AGGGGAAACATTTCAGAACTTGCTAATAAAGTCCATTCCTGATGAGCTAATCTTCTAGCTATAATGCTACACAAGCATTTGATGTGAACTGTGTGCCAGACTGAGAAAGTCAGTACCATATACAAGCAGTGCACCAATCCCTCTTGGATTATTAAGTATTTCCCATGAATCTGGACAGATGACAACATGGAAAGAAATTCATTCTTCAGACAGACTACAAAAACGAAAGCCTTGAACCAAGCCTAAACCTGAAATAATGCATATGAAGCTTTAGTGTCCTGAACATTCAGTGTATGCAATTGTTCCGTATCTGCTCTCTCAGACAGAAATCAGATCCCTTTTCCTACAAGCAGACATTTCTGTGGTTAAGACCTCTAAGCCTGGATTCCTTATTGTATCTCACACAAAGCAGTAACAGCACTTCTTGCCACTGCCTTTCACAAGAAGGGTTCCAGGGAAGAGCTGGCACAAACGAGATTTCAATGAAAATAACCTGGGAGACAACATCCACCTGACAACACAACCTGCTCAATCCATGATCTCAGCACAGTCCTCTAGCACCATTTTATAACTGTAGAAGTGGTATATGCAAAGAGCAGAGAATGACAACCTATTCCCAGAAAATGCCATAACACCAATTATGCCAACAGACACTTCTTTGCACTGATGGACCACAATTTCTAGTCATCTTGGACCACATGTATATAAATATAAAAAAAATCTCAAGGTAACCCTTCAGTTTTCAAGAAAACGGACCACCTCACAGGTTCATTTCATATAAAGTTACAAAAGCTAAGATTGTTTCAGAACCTAATTTCATCACTGCATTCAAAAATTAGAGGCTTCTCTAAAAATCATACCTCTACGTCTGAATCCTGGCTCCTCTCTCTCTCTTTTCAGGCAACACAGCTAGGAAAGTTCTCAAGTGATGTGCTCACAAGTTGCACAACAGAAGCAGCTCAGAGTAACACATCTCAACTTGCACCTGGATCACGCCAACCAAAAATAAAAGCTAGTATTTAAGAAATGTGAGGCAGAAATGTGAGAGAGGAGACATTCTTTTCTCTATAGGAAATGAAACATCTATTTATACAATATTCATCATACTCAGGCAGTTCAAATATTTATCTACTGGACTGGGAGTGCACTGGTGTAACAAGTCAGGCAACTCCTTGTAGATTGTTCCTATATATAAAAATCTAACATTAAATTACATTGCCAAAAAAACAGATTTAGAATTCTATTTTTAAAAATACCACTGCCCAGACCGGAAACTATTAAATTGACTTCCAGGACATTTGTTCATAGGACTATTTAGAAACAGCTATTTCTAAATATCCTTTGACTGTTTTATTCCTGAATATGGGTCAGCCTTTAGGCATATCTTTAATCTATCTCTTTAATGCTGACAGCCCTTCCCAGCATCTTCCTGGAACAAAAGGCTTTTAAGAATTTTGGGTGATGTTTTGAGCCAAATAACCTAAACTATAAAAGGTATTCTTATGCCCTGCGCAAGAATATTAAAAAACACAGATCTCCTGACTTCAAAAGTTAGCTGTTTTAAGCAGAGAGCATTCAGCCAGGGGAAGATGTGTTTCCTGCATATAAATTTTATCAGAATATTTTTATGTCAATTTCTTTCTGGAAAACAACCGATCAACTACGCAATTTGAATAGTATCTTAAATTGCATTTTCCTCACTGCAATTTCTCTGCATAAAGCCACTGACTTTACATAATTAACATTATCCAGAAGAAAGAAAAACTTGTACGTCACTAAAACTTGCTGCATTTTATTGCAGAAACAAGATGCAAGTGATCGCATGTTTTAGACTAATTCTTCTTATGGTCCATTTCAAGTCTGGCATGTTGTAACACTTCACTGTTACAAACAGTAGTTCTTAAAAATGAGTTTAAGGTAACTTACTCAGAGGTCTGCCTCTGGGCTTCTTGGCGGAAGGCTAAAAGCATCAATCGTAACATTAAAAAGTGAAATAAAAGGGAATTAAAATCAAGAATTGTTATTCCCATATATAACAGGTTCAAAGGCATATACTTGGAGGAACTAAAGCTTCCCTTAAAATAAATAACCTGTTCAACAGTTTTACACGCCCATCACAGCAGCACTGCCAAGATTATTTATGGGAAACCCAGAGCCTTTGTTAGAGAACAAAGTACAATATAAATTCTATATTTATTAAGTCCAGCAAGAAAAGCCCTTTAAGATTTTAAAACCAAAGATCAGATTACCTTTTCTGTCCTATTCATTTAATGCTTTTTTTCCAATAAGGTGACAGTATTTTAAAGCAGGTAGACCAGAATCAGTGGCTTGCAAGCTCCCCATGTGGCTTATACTCCAAGAAACCTCTGCTTTCCTACGCTGCTAAAGGTTACCTAAGAAACTCCATAAAAACACTGTCCCACAACGGCCTGGCAAATCATTTTGTATCTCAGTATAAACAATACCACTAACTTCTAACCGACAAATCCCAAAACTACACTTTGCTGTAGCCCAGATGTATTTCAAACCTTCCTCCAGGCACACCAAGAGCTCTCCAGTCAGCTGTGCTTCAACGCTGTCTCACAGCACCTACTTGCACTCTGCAGTCACTGTGCCTGGGAGGCAGCAAACACGCTCTGCATATCCATACAGGCAGTGGCTGTGGAGGCAGGCACCCAGCAATCATCCTGCTTCCTGGAACCACCACATAGAACCACAGAATCATTCAGGTTGGAAGAGACCCTTGGGATCATCGAGTCCAACCATCTCCCCTACTCTACAAAGTCCTCCCCTACACCACGTCCCTCAGCACTGCATCTAAACGGCCCTTAAACACAGCCAGGGATGGTGACTCCACCCCCTCCCTGGGCAGCCTGTTCCAATGCCCGACCACTCTTTCGGTGAAAAATTCCTTCCTAATGTTCAATCTAAACCTACCCTGTTGGAGCTTGAAGCCATTCCCTCTCGTTCTGTCACTAATTACCTGTGAGAAGAGACCAGCACCAACCTCTCTACAGTGTCCTTTCACGAAGTTGTAGAGAGTGATGAGGTCTCCCCTCAGCCTCCTCTTCCTCATACTAAACAGTCCCAACTTCCTCAGCCGCTCCTCATACGATTTGTTTTCCAGCCCCCTCACCAGCTCCGTTGCCCTCCTCTGCACTTGCTCCAGCACCTCCAGATCTCTCTTGTATTGAGGTGCCCAAAACTGGACACAACACTCCAGGTGTGGCCTCACCAGTGCTGAGTACAGGGGCACAATCACCTCCCTACTTCTGCTGGTCACACTATTTTTGATACAAGCCAGGATGCCATTGGCTTTCTTGGCCACCTGGGCACACGGCCGGCTCATAGTCAGCCGTTTGTCAACTAGAACCCCCATTATGGCACAAGTGCTGGTCACCTACCACGAGGACTTGCTAATAACCCCCCTGGATGGGAGAAGCACCAGAAGCAAGTCCCCACCACCAGAACTAATTCAGCTGGCTCCTTACTGTGCTTTGGATAAAGCACTGAGTGAACACGTGCGCTCCATCCAGCTACAGGACGGGAAGGACCCACAGGACACAGTTTTCTTTCAACCACAGAAGAAAGTACGATGCAAGTGACCCAAATCATTAGGACTATTTCTTAAACAGAAGCTCAGACCCAGTAACCCAGTCCCAAAACTCCTACGTTCACAAATACTTCAAACCCTTAGTAATACCATTTTCAATCCCTCAGCAACAGCAGTATTAAAGACAGACCAAGGAAATTAAACATAAAACAGTAAAGAGCACTACAATTCTACCTCCTGTGTCCTTGTTTCCACAAGCTACACCACAACTTCAAATGTGCTGCTAGAAGGGGCTGTTATTAACCTTAGCCTAATTGATCCAAGACTAGAAGTAACTTTGTTAAGTTTAACAGGAACTAATACTCACAAATACTAACTCGATCACATACTATTTACGTTGGAAGAGCACCCTTTCACTGAAAAATAAACAGAATCAGTAGAGAAGGAAAATACTTATCTTACTGCTTAACTTTGTCCCTAAAGGTATTTCCTAAAGGAAACCATGGTCATTCTGTATCAGCCTTAAATTCTGGAGAAACATTAATGCCTTGGTCAAAACACAAGGCAGTAAAAACACTGTGGCACGGCTCTGCTACCTGGGAATTCTGGCAGATGAAATTAGCTATTGAACCTACCAGAAATGACTAATTTTAGTTCAGCTGTTGAAAGCAAGTCTAACAGTCACACACAACGGATTTGTATAGATTAATTCTGAGATAATTAACACAAACATCCTTGTTGGAAAAACAATGACTTCTTCCTAACGCTGCAACAGAAAAACAAGACAACTTCTGTCTGGTTCTCCTTTCTCCTCTACACAACTTTATTGATTACTTTTTTTTTTTAATTCTTATATTTGTTGGTGTTGTGCATACCCTTTGAAACACCTTCCCTCTGTGATTATACATACATGAAGTTATATTTTAAACCTCATTGAGCAAAAATAAGCTGGCATGAAGTTTGACTCTTAATTACTTTTACTAAATTAACTTTTTTTGCACCACCACAGAAATATCTTTAACTTGGAACTTTCAGGGACATAGAGCTAACACGGAAACAACTGTAAGTTTTGGGGGCGGAGTGATTCATATTCCCTTGAGGGTATTTAATGCACTTTGAAGGTATGAGCACAGAAGCAAAAGCGAGGAGCTTTCATCCCGTAACTTTTCCTTAGCAAAAGAGTAAATTAGGACAACACGCACGTCAGCGAAGGTTTGCCTTACACATACCACGCAACTGCCAGGAAGAAAGCAAAAACAACTCGGGGAAATTGTTCAGAAAGGAAAAACAACTCAGGAAGAAGAGTGTGGGTTTTTTTCCTTCAGGAAAACCGACCATTTCTCAGTGTCTTCTCTCTGAAGGGTGAGGGCGCTTCCTCCCAGCGACCTTACACCGCCGCCCACACCGAGTTAAAACCTTTTTTTTTAAGGCGCAGCTTTAGCCTCACCCGGTTTTGCTCCCCGAGGGACGGCGAACCAGGCGACCGACTCCTCCACCTCCGCAGAAAAGCCCGTCTCCCATCCCCCCGCGGAGAGCGGCCCCTCTCCGGCAGCGGGAACCCGGCCCGACACCTGAGGGGACGTTGCGCAAGAGACGGTTAGGGCCGTTACGGGCCAACCGCCGCCTGCAGCCGGGGAGGGGCGGCCGGGCCCGGCCCTACCCCCGCCTCAACGAGGCGGCAGCCGGGGCTTGCCTGAGGGGAGAAGCGGCTCAGCACGACGCGGGGAAAGCACCGCAGGCCGGAGGGGGAACAAACCGGGCGGCAAGAGGGCCTAGGAAGGGCTCGTCCCCTGAGGCGCGGGAGGGGTCACCCCCTGAGGCGCGGGCCCGGGAGGGGCCATCCCCTGAGGCGCGAGTCCACCCTGAGGCGCGAGTCCACCCTGAGGCGCGAGTCCACCCTGAGGCGCGAGTCCACCCTGAGGCGCGAGTCCACCCTGAGGCGCGGGCCCGCCAGGCAACGGGCCGCCACCGCCCCCGAGCACTCAAAAGCCTCGCCCGCAGCCAACCCCCCAGTCCCGGCGCCGCGACCCCTCGCCCCCCCGCCATAACCAGGCCCTTCCCTCCCCTGCCGGGGCGGCCGATGGCGGCGCGGAGGCTGCGCACCCCCCCTTTGCCGCCCGCCGCGGACACGCCCA